TTTCTGTCCCCTGCTCCCGCCTCTCACTCCTCCTCCCTCCCAACCTTTGTTCTCCCGCTACTTTACCTTTGCCTATTGCCCTGTCTCTCTCACACCTGAAGAAGGCTCCACAGCCGAAACGTTGTGTTTTCTTTCTTCTTTTTTTTCAGCATGGAATAAACCTATTACTTGTCCCTTTGCAGCCTACGCATGCTGACGCAGCTACCCACCTGAACTGTTATATAAGTAGTTATAAACCATCAACACTGGCTGGAAACTGCAGAATCCAAGGAAACATAACTGTGGATTTCTGGGAGTTGTAGTTCTTGCGGACAGTTTCCTACTCAGCCTTTTTTTATGGTCTTTCTCTCATGTTATTTTGGAATGATCTGTTCCTTCTCTCATCGATTAACTTCTTAATTACATGTACCAACAAATATGAAAATGTGTTTTTCTTCAAAAGGTTTTTGCAGATTTTAGCATTCAATTATATTATTAATTAAATTAGATTCAATTCAATTCAATTATAGCTATTAATTAATTGATTTTAATTAACTTGAAATAAATAATATATTACTTTTGTCAACTGTTACTCTCAGCTCGACTGTGTTACCATCAGGCCAATTATGGTACTCATAAATGTATTTGGCTGAATTAAATAGTACTTCTAAAATACACCTACTTTGGTTTGTATTACACAAAAAGAGGAATATTTTTAATTTGCTCAGATTTATGAAAATTTTAATTTTAAATGTTATTTGTTAGAAAAGTACCACCAGAAATCCATTAAATTGCATGAGAGGTGACTTTGTCATGTAAATTGACCTATTGCTACTTTTTTGTCAATGGACAACTGGTCAGTGAGCTGCAGCTACCATCTCCGCAAGAGAAATTAAGAGGGAATCGCTGCAATTTTGTGAACTATAATAATATGTGATGATTATTTTCCCCTGTAAGTTTTGTTATTGTTTTTCTTTAATCACTTTATTGGCCATATACAATTTCTTGTATTACAATTTTTTCTTTTCACATACCCCAACTTGCTCAGACAGGGACACACAGACAGGGAGAGACACACAGACAGGGAGAGAAGCTTGGGGTCAGAGCGCAGGTCAGCCATTTATATGGCATCTCTGGAGCAGGTGGGGTTAAGGCCCTTGCTCAGGGACCCAACGGAGTAGGATTCCTCTGCTGGCCACGGAATATAAACCGGCAACTTTCCAGCCACAGGTGCAGATCCTTAGCCACAGAGCCACCACACTGCCCCTAAACCACCGCTGTTTTAAGCAAGCAGCACAGAAATGCAGAACAGAAATGTATAAAAATAGACCCGTTTAAGAAAATACTAAAGTCTGTTCAGTTAATGTCTGCATTCTGTTTTTCTGGGTTTTAACCAGTGTTGATAAGATTCAATGAGCACCCACCAGAGTTTCTCTAAGGTTACCACACTTGCATCACAACATCTCAATATTTACAACAAAATGTGTTTTTTATTTACAATGTACTGTTTTTCATGTGTTTCTCAATAATTTGTTCATAATGATTTATTTTGGAAAAAATCCTGGTTTGTTTAGTTTCACTTCCTCTGAAAGCAATAATAACATCAGCCATTTTGACTATATATCATTGCTGTTTATATTATGTATAATGTTTCTTTGAAGTGTAAAGGAAAATGAAGCTTACTATCAAATTAACCCATTACTAGGCAACACCTATAAGTTTTTAATTTGTCTCATTGCACTAAAAACATAAAGTAAGATACTACATTTCTTACTGTCCTATACAGTATACTACAGTAAGTCATCCAATCAGAGTGACACATTGGCAGAGGAAGAATTCTTGCCTGCCATGCGGTAGGCCCGGATTTAATTCCTGGCCAATGTACGAGCCGAACTTTCTTTATTACATTGCCCTTTGGGAATTATAAAGGTTTTCTTTCTAATAATACAAATCCTCTTTCTTATAATTAAATAAATTTAATAATGTGTAAACTATTATTGACATTTTTATTAATTTTAAATCTCACAGTATGTTAAATATGAAATTATTATTAATAAGTGTAATAATAACTAAATTGTAAATAAATTGAATCATCATTTGAATCCAAATTATAATTGGTTTGAAAAATTGAATACGATTTGCCAGTTTAATTTAATTTAAGATATTTTGATTCATAGTCATGTGTAATAAATAAAACATACAGGTAGAGTAAAAAGCATGTTTAAACTTGTTACAGTGAAAATAAGTATTTTTTGCAAGAACAAACCTGATTGTAGATCAAGCAAAAATGAGAATCCTGCCATAGGGGGAGTAAAGAAAACCAGCTTTACCAGACACAAGACCATAAGATCACCAATATATAGGTTGAGAGAATAATGGAATTTAAAGATGACCTTAAACAGAAACCAATTAACAGTGCAGTGCAGACTTGCATCAGCTACAGTGCAACTTATATGTGACGTATGTGACAGTCATTCAAGTCACCACTCAAAACCTTCATTTTAGTCTGGCCTTCTTTTTTCTTGTCTTTTATGCATAGGATTGCATTTAAATTATACTATTTTTTAAAACTGCTATGTATAACATTTTTATAAATAAAAACATAAAGATTGCTAGATTTATATTTTTTCTGTAATATCTCTTTTTCATATTAGTTTTTATAATCATTTGGCCTTACCTGTTGAAGCGCTTTGTCCTGGAGTACCTATTTCAGTGTTACTTTTCTGATGTAACATGGGAGTCTCTTCTAACAGTAGGGGGTATTGGAGTACACCTTTTACAGTCTTTGATGTGTGAAGAAACACAAATCGAAAGCTCTTTATGCTATGAAGTCAGCTATATGGCTTTGGAGCAGTTGCACCATGTCTATTGTATTTAAAATGCTACTTTAAGATTTAATGTTAAATTAAACTAATTGTCAGTTAAACAACCCAGAGATTGTGGTGCATTTTGTTTGGTTTTAGGGAGAAGCCAGGGGCAAGGCCATTTTTTTCCTGTAGCTCAGAAATTACACAGTGTTTCACGCACATAATAGCCTTTCAGTCATGCTGTATTGCCCTTTCTCTAGGAAAAATGGAAAAAATGGAAAAAACAGAAACTCATGGAAAAGGACATTTCCCTGACTTAAAAAACTTTAAAACCACATGCTGTGTACATACTATCCTATTCCTTTTAATTGGACCCTTTGATGGCTTTAAAATTATTTGAGAAATTTAAAATCAATAAATGCCACTCACAAAATCCCAAAGTGGTGTAAATATTTGTATCCTTCTATCAGCTACAACTTATAGTACACAAGCAACAAAGTCATTCAAATCCTTATTCAAAACTAACTTTAACTCTGGTCTCTTTTCTGTTTTTTAATGTTGTTATTGGATTTAAATACAATATATTTTTAAAATCACTATCACTATCACTATCTAATTTAATAACAATCTAAAATAAAACTGTTTTCACCATAGTATGTATAGACATTATTAGTATAAATATAAAACATTATTTCTATTAAACAGGAGAGTGTCAAACCAGTGACAGTATCTAATTTGGAGCTGTGGTAGCAATGAGGTAACAACATCCTGCCTCAACAATATAATCAATTATTTAATGAAATTGTTGCTAGTAGAGTATGCATACAATATGATTATCACAGGAAAGCACTAACAGGTTAATGAGCATTTAATACAGTACTGAGCAGTCTGACAACAACACACAGCTGTAGTATCTTAAGGATTCACTGCGTCACCTGGCAGTTTTACATTTATCATGAGTGGTGCCTACTGCAATATACTGATTGACACCTTGCACATTCTAGATGGTTGTATCTGTACAGTGATTGACATCAAATTCTCAGTAATGCAATAGTGGTCCTCAGAAAATATTTTGAAATATTATTACCATAGATTATACATATAGAATAAAAAATAATTACCCATGGCAAAGAAGGGGATTCCAAGCAGTGTGGAATTGTACTTCCCATCCGATATGAAAAATATCCCTGCTGCAGTAACATTGGCGATGCAGATAGTGAGAACTCCCAGTAGCCCAAGAAAGGGCTTTCCTCGCAGACAGTCCCTCATAGAGCTAGAGATGGTGGCAGCCAGGAGAACCAACACCAAACTGACTAACACCTGACTCTTGGCCAACATGCCTGTCTTGTGAAAATCTCTCCAGAGACTGAAAGAGGTAAGGGATTGGATATAAAGATCTTCACTGACAAGAGACAGCCTGTGTGTAAGTTTACAAAATTCACTTTCCCACTTCTCAGCGATGACATCCTGGGATGCAGAGCCATAGTTGTGGAGGTAGTATGTTATTTGAACAGCTCTGGCAAACTTCACCTGGTGATCTCTGCTGTTTGGAACAAGTGTCACCCCTCCCAGCTGGTGACCGATGAAAGAGATCCTTCCATCCTAAAAAACAAAAGGACAACTTTTTTTCAGATGGGGCTCTGACCATAATATGTTGAAGAACACAACGTGCTGTGAAGTCAATATGCATTATATTACTTTTGTTTCCTTTGAATCACACAAAAAAACAAATAGACTATAAAAATGTCTCAGAATGTGAATCATATGTAAACCCATTCATCCATTTCTTAACTGACTAATCCAAATCAGTGTCACGGGGAAGCTGAAACCTTTCGGCAAGCAACAAGCACAAGGCAGGATATACTCTGAACAGGATGCCAGTCCATCGCAGGGCAAACACAGACACAAAGAACCATACACCAGGAAAATTTTCCCAAAAAACAATTAACCTACCAGTCTTTAGACTGTGGGAAGAAACGAGAGCACCCAGAGGCCCACACAAACAAAGGGACTACAGATGCAGCCATTCAAAACGAGCAGGCGATACCGCATTATTTTGCGGTGCGCTTTACGCAGTCTACTGTGAGTTACCGTAAATTCTCCTATAATACCGCAAGCAAAATAATAGTATCCGGAATTTCCGCAAGGTGGAGCTAATAAAGCTCA